ATCAAGCCATTCTCAATATCAAATACCAGCTTCTAGTATTACAAAACCGATGACAAGGATATGATGACTTGTTTTTGGGGTTTGTAGTTTTCTGAATCAAATAAGGCAAGATGAGTTTGATGGATTTTCCCGTCATTAGTGGATGTTAGTCACCCCCTTACTAATTTGTAGGTTTGTCGTTTGTTTGTTTGTGCGTTTGTGTGTGTATTTACGGAATTCCAAGATAGATTAAATAAGACACTCAATTTTTGTCTTTTTGGATTTGGAGAGGAGATTTTAAGATTTCAGTAGCGGTAAGTTGTCTCTTTGGCCTTGGATCCCTCAATTACTTATTATTTGAAGGTTTGGTGTTAGGTTTGGAAACAACTGTTGGTACTAAAATTTGTTGTTTACCTTGCCCATAAAAATGATGCTTGCAAGGATCTCCTTGCTTGTTGTCTTTGCATGATGCTTGTAGATAATGCTGTGAATGAGCTGATTTCGAGCCTATACAGGGTCCGCTCGAACATAAACGTGCCCTGGATTTAAAAAATCTGTGATTTAAGCTAAGGATTCAACGACAACAGAAAAAATCACTCTGAGATTGAGTTAATTCTTGCCCAAAACCAGCTAACAAACAACCCCTTTGGGTTTACAGGGTAATGTGCCCCCAACCTCACACAAATGTGTAAATCAGAAGAAAAAAGAAAAGTATGGAAAAAACCCGTTTACTTTCAGATCCACAACACCCAAACATAGCCACGGGGATTGTGATTTGTGACCCAACTTCTAAACTTCATTCTGGTTAGGGTTGAAAGTACCGTAACACCGTGCAAGAAGACAGCTAAGCTCACCAGCATCGTTCGTGAAGAGGGCAAGAGGTGCATGAGCGGAAGAGAGCAAGATGGAAACGTAGATAGGGGAAGAGCTAGAAGCAAAGAGCAGAAGAGAGAGCTAGACATCGAGAAAGGCAGATCGAAATGAATTCTTGGGTCTTGGGGCTTCGGGGCTTCGGGGCTTAAGGGCTTTGGGGCTTAAGGGCTTCAGGGCTTAAGGGCTTCGGGCTTTTGATATAAGAGGGTTGCCATTCCACCGATTCGCGATAGCATCTATTATCCATCGTTTGTTCAAATTCGATTTGAGGATGGATCGAAATAAAATTGATTTTTTATTTGCCTCCTAGCTCGACTTAATTTATTCGAGCTCATTTCGATCCAAGCTAAATTTTTATTCGATTTTCGAGCGATTAACTCTTTTCGAGCCAATTTCACAACCTTACATGTAGACCATATTTTTCTTAAACTTGGATAGTAGATCTTAAAAAGGGTTGACGTTGGAGCATATTTGTGCCCAGGCGGGATCGGAAGGTGAGACAAGGGCAAGATTTCATTTCTAAACTTCTCGTTATAGGATTTAAAGACTCGGGATTGATTTTCAAGACTCAGGATTGATTATATATGTGGACAATCATGCCTTTTCACTTATCCAATTATTCAAGCACTTTTATGTGGTTGATGAATTAGGTTTTTAGGCATTTATCGAGATATTTGAGGTTGTATATCTTCATGTCCTACCATTCAGTAGAGGATCACTTGCAACACGCAAAAAAATTTGAGATGTTTCTAGCAGCCCGATTATATAGTCACTCGAAGAACTATTACTTTTTTATTACACATTTCTTGGGGCATGCTGTTTTAACAATTAGTATTGAGTTAAATTAATGCTAAGATCAATGTTATTGTGAACTACCCAATTCATAGTTGTTTACTTAGGTACGTCAGTTCTATGGATCACCTTATTCTACTAAAGTTCTATCAGGAATTTCAACTCTATGATGACATCATTGACAGAGCTTCTCTAGGCGGATATATTTTCTTAGTTGGATGAGTCACGTTCCAGTTTTGAGGCACCGAAACTATATGTTATTGAACCATTTTTCCAGCTTTTATAAATTTCAGTCAGGCGTTCAAGGTGGAATTTGATGCCTTCAATATGAGCATTGGAGCTGCATTGGAGTTATGTTGAGTCAATGCGAACATCATATAGCCTTCTTATGTGAGAAGTTCAACGAATTTGGGCAAAAAATATGTTACCAATGAAGTGTTCAATGCTATATTTAGAGCCCATTGTCATTGAAGTCATTACCTGCTTGATAATGAGTTCACTCTGCATGGATCATGAAGCCCTGAGATTTTTTAATAGCCAGATTAAACTGCAAGGTAGACATGCCTCATGGGTTGAGTTCCTCTTCTCTTTTCGCTTAAACACAAAAAGGAGTTAGAATAATTTTATTATTGTTTTGAGTTGTCGTCAAATTTTTATTTTTACTATATAGTTCATTGTATTTGAGTTTGAAGTGTGAAGGATATGTATGTTACTGATGAAGATTTTCAAGAGATTGGGCCCTTTGTAAAGTGAGAACTTATGAGTAGTGGGACATATTTGCAGGTTATATGTTTTTCCATATCATGTTTGTGCATTTTTAGGAGTTCGTTCGGGAAGGCTATTTTACAAGTGTGAGAAATAGATGAATAAATGGACATTTTGGCAAGGATAATACTCTTTCCTTTGTGAAAGTGAGTTTCTTTTAGGCCACTTTAATATAAGATGTTGAGAGACATGTGAGATAGAGTCTGGTATGTCATTTGGCTTAGACTTTTGGATAAAAATTGAGTTTATATATTCCTCTTTATATATTTGTTAATTTGGGTGGATATGTGCATGAACTTCATTGTGAGCCTTCCATGAAATTGACAGAGTAAGGATTTTGTTATGATTGTAGTTGATCGCTTCTCCAAGATGACATATTTTGTAGTTTGCCACAATATGACATTGTGGGCTCCAAAAATTAGCTCCTCATCCTCCCTAAATGATGAATGCGAGAGATTTACTTAAGATTTTGGGTTAAATTTTTAGAAGGCAAATTAGGAGGACATATAATACACTATATAGAGACTCTTACCTGTGGACTTTAGATCTATGGTTTGAAATTTTTCATAGGCGTAAACCCCTAAGTTAATTATCTCTCTCGATACCCTTAAGTTACATATAATACACTTTTGATTATGGCTTTTCATTAAATCATTTATTGTTCTGAGTGTAATAGCAGCAGATTGAGTTTTAGATTGCTTAAATTGATCATTATAAGCTTAAGAGTATATGGTGAGGGGAATGATGACGAAATCGATTTAGATCCCATAATTTTGTCATTCTAAGTTGTTGTGGATCATGATCTACATAGTCAAAAGATATAGTCAACTCAACTTGACTAAATGATCCTAATTAGCAGTCATGAGTTGCTTCAATGAACCTTGTAGGCTTGTGGTGGATACTTGTTTAAGGAGACCAATTTAAGTTAATATTAGCTAACAGAGAGATTTATGTTATATCAAATATATTTAATGATTCACACCTCAAAGGGCATAGTCATTCGAAAACATAAGGGATGAAGTCATGATTGTAATGTAATAGTGTTACTCAACGACAAACTACCAGATTAGAGGGTTCTGGTCATAATCATTATGTTTGTAGAGTGTACTTGCCAAATCACACGGATAGAGAATTTGAGCCACGTCTTTACTTTGTGTAGATTATTTTTAGAGTGAATGCAGTTATTATATCTGAAATGATGTTGACTCTACATGACTTTGGTCAATCATAAATTTGTTGTTCTTGACAATGTGGTGTGGCTAGTGGATTTATTTTTATTTTTAACTTTCAGTGATTATATTTTATTTAAATATTTACATTCATTGATTTGAAATAATTTTTATTGAACTTTGAGCTATTTTGAAAATAAGAACTCTGGATGGGATTTCTTATTCAACACGACCTTTATTAGGATTTTGGGGAGTTTTGAACATTGTCAAACCCTTTTTTTTTAAAAAAAAAGAAAAGTTATTGATACTAGAACATTGTCAACTCTTTATAACTCACAAAGGATTAGTTTAAAAAATTATATCAATTGAGATTCACCTGTAAAAATAATCATTTTCTTAGGCTAAGAGAATGATGCATTTTTTTTTTTCATTTGTTTCTTCTTGAAAATTTAGCTCAATCTAATCATGAGTAAAAATTAAACCTCCTAATTCTTCTCATGTGCAAGTTGCATGCATCATAACATTGAACTTCAACGCTCACAATGTTTGCAGTTTTTAATTAACCCCAAGATTAGAGAGAGTTGTCTTAGATGGTTTGGTCACATTAATTGTCGCTTATTTGATGATCCGATTAGGAGAGTAGATGTTCAAGATTCAACTTATGTTAAGAAAGGGAGGGGTAAGCCTAAAAAGACTAGGGCATATTGTATAAAAAATGGTCTTAATCTATTAGAATTAAATGAAAATATGACACTCAATTGGATGCAACGAAGTAAAAAAGACTCATGTAGCCGGCCCCACACGGTGGGATAAAGACTTGTTGTTGTGGTGGTTGTTGTTTCTGAAAGTAACGTTGACCCCACCGACATTGCTTGGGATTATATCGTGCTTTTATGAGTCCAGTACATAGTAAACCATTATAATAAGCAAGAAAATTGTCCAAGTGCCGTCAGCGTTGTTCTTCATCCTAGGTGCGGACCTTGAGAGCCGTTTTGGCTGCAGTAGTCTACATGTTATATAGTTAGTATCTAGTGGTTTTCATCTAGCACCTTCATCTGTTTTGAAATTATTGCTTTGACAGATGTGAGAAAAGTAATATATCTTTGAGATGTATGTTATTAAAAAAAAAAGAAGAAGAAGAAAGCTTTCTAATAATCCGTTTAAAAATAATGGTTTTTAGTTGTTCAGGCGATCAGAACTGGCGAACTGTGGGTGAAACGGACTGTAAGAGAGCTTAGAGTCATTGAGTATAATGTTCTCTTTACACTGCTTGAATGAGTTGGCGTCTTTGCTTTCGTTCTTTTCTGTTTCTTTTTTGCCTAAATTTCAATTTATCATCAACCTCATTTTCACAACTCGTCAACTTGAAAGCACAAGTAGCGTACTTTTCCTGATACTCTGTTTGGCCTTTTTTGGATTCAGAAGCATCAAGAAGTCTAGAGCTGCGACAAGATCAAAAAAACTCCGGAAGCAAAAGGCTATAGAAAGGGCCATATGCAAGGCTGAAAAGACGGAGGAGAAGGCTTGCAAAATAAAAAACAAAGTGCTTAGGGTTCAATCCGCCAAGTCACTGTATGACTAGACCATTCCTCATTTTGTATGCAACACAGCATTCTACTTGTGCGTTTGGATTGAACTTTGCTTTTAATTATATTTTTGCTCTTGATTTGACTTGTGGTTTTTCTTGCATTATTTTTTTTTCATCTCCCAACCGTGCTTTGGTGTGGTGGGTGGTCTTCCCTTACTATTATATCCATTACTTTTCTATGCCAATGTGGTTCTTTTCTGTACATCGTAATCATATATTTCAACGCTGTGTTCTACTTCTTGCATTATCTTTTCGTCAAATTGAGAGTATTTATTCCATCAAATAATTTTCAAATATTGTGGGGATCAATTAGTGAATGCTTCGAGATTCACATTTTCGGTACACATATATGTAAAATTTGCTTGAACAGTATGCATTGATTAATCGCAGCTTTACTGTTGGCTGGACGATGACCTACTTATGCATTCATGTGTACCAAGTTGGGCGGGCTATTCACTGTTTCTAGATTGCTAATTGTCAAAGTAAGCATTTGGCCAACTCCTTTGCTTATAAATTATAATAAATACATAACTGCACATTGCAGTATAATACCGCCAATTATCAATGCTGAGTTATTAACGATGAGGACATTTTGCAAGTAATGTTGGTTATTAAGCCATTTTCCCCATCAGTTATTATATTCGTTTAGTATGATTTTATTTTTTTAATTATTTTCAGGGAGTAGTTTTTGTTTTTTTTTTTCAATAGTACAAGTTAAAAATAAATTATTTTAAAATAGGAAAAAAGTTAGTAATTTCTCAAAAAAAAAAAAAAAGTTTATTAAAATATGGAGAATTGGGCCACATTGTTTATGTAAAGATTATGCCAAGCCAAAGTGCTCTTCGTAGGGTAAATGATTTGATGAAAATCCGGGTTTCCAAAACAGGAACGCAATATATTAAACTTCCAAATCATTGTGAATATTTTTTTTGCTGCACCTTAGGGAGTAAAACAAACTTTTTAAAAAACTGTGCATAGTGGTGGATTAAAAATTGCCTAAGATGACAGTTTAGACAGCTATTGAAGATTTTTATTGATTTCTTAATCTTGCCTCCCCTTCCCTTAGCTCAATCCAATCGCCACCCTCACGTCCAAACCCGAACTACCCTACTCGGCTCTCTATTTATTTATTGCTATGTTAGCCATCTCGTTGATTCATGGTTATGCTTCGCCAGGTAGTTTGCCGCTCATACAACATCTGTTGATGATTCGACCGGGTCATCTTCCTTTAGATCACTACAATCGTCAGTAATGCTTCAACTAATACCAACCTCTACATATCATGGTATACCATATGTTTGATGCCAAAAACTTGTACTAATTTTTGAGATTATGTTGCCAAATCATTTCATGTTAGATTGTGTTGGAGAAAGGAAGCCAAAAATTCACCACAACTACAGCACGCATGATGGAATTGATTAAAAAAATTGCAAAAATAAACAACACCAAATTTTAGTGTGGAACTAATCAACTTTATAGACACAAAGTTCTTTAGAGCACTCCTAAATGAAATCAATAATCAACCATCATAAGATAGGTGTTATATATCAACTCCATCAACACAAGAGTTTGATAATTTCACCAAATTCAAGAGAAATGAAGCTTTCTTACTTTGGATTCCTTTTATGTTGCTGCCCCGAAACCCTTAGTCGTGAGGAGAATTGATGTCATCGAATGCCTCGAGTCACAAAGCTAAGTGATGCCACCAAAAATAACAAGGACACGCTGACTTCCTGTGTTCGCGAGCCACGAGAGAGTGCAGAAGAGAGAGTCAAATGAGAGGGCAAAAATTCAGGAATTCTAAGTGTTGGTTTTTGCTTTCCAACTTATTTTTAATGAACATATGAGAAAAAAATCATAAATCATTTTTCTCAAGTGAAGGTTGTTGCTTTCAGACAGGAGAGACCCACTACAATCTCCCCCTCCTGATCACGTGGAGAAAAGGCTCTTATACAATTCCTTCACATACTATAAGCTTCTATTTTGGTAATGCTTTTTCCATCATATGAAAATCATTCTCATTGATATGGATCTTCTCAAGTTGTAACATTCTACGAGTCTTAACACATCACAAATCCAATGATACCTCACATCAATATGCTTCAAATGCGCAAAATGTGGAATTCTTACTGAGATGAATTGCGCTCGGACTATCATGGTATAAGATAAACCTATCTTGCTCATGGTCCAATTCTTGTAGGAAATTCTTTATCCATAAGACTTCTTTGCCAGCTTCTATGGCCATAATATACACAACTTCAATTGTTGGCAAAGCCACACACTTTTGTATTTTAGATTGTCAAGAAACTGCTCTCCTGCAAAAGTAACCAAGTATCCCAAAGTTGACTTCCTCGATTTCACATCACCAGCTATATCTGCATCTGTATAACCATGAAAATAAAATTATCATTTCAAAAACATAAACACACTTTGGAAGAACATCTGATATACCTAAAAATTCACTTAATTGATGCCCAATGCTCTTTTCCTTGATTTGGAAAAAAAATGACCAACCATGCCAACAACATAAGTCATACCTAGCCTTGTACACCATAACATATTAACATACACCAAGCTATTCACAGCGAATGCAAAAGGCACATTTTTCTTTTTTTGCTTCTCATTCTCACTTGTAGGGGCATTATTTAGTGCTAAGTTTAAACTGACATGTAAGTGGAGATATAACTGGCTTCGTTCTGCTCATATTAAATCTTTTAAAAATTTTCTCTGTGTACGTCTCCTGAGATAACCTTAGCTTGTTCTTTTTCCAGTCATGAATAATCTTCATTCCAAGTATTTGCTTTTCCAAACTTAAATTTTTCATGATAAAATATTTGGTAAGTTCATTCTTGAGTTTCTCAATCTTAGTCTCATCATGGCCAATGATCAACATATCATCAACATATTGTATGAGAATCACTAAATCATTATTAGTCAACTTCTTTACAAAAATACAATGGTCAGAAGTAGTCTTATTGTACCCATTTTTTTCCATTGCCTTCGTGCTTGCTTAAGTTCGTATATACTTTTTCTCAATCTACAAACCTGATTTTCTTTTCCTTTGTCTCTGAAGCCCTCAACTACCCCATGTAAATCTCTTTCTCTAAGTTATTGTGAAAAAAGATTGTCTTTAAATCAAGTAGTTCCACTCCAAATTCAAACCCATAACTATCCTACTACAATTCAGGTTGAACTCATCTTCATCACTAGTGAGAAAATTTCATCGAAATCGACATCTGTTGTATGACTAAATCCCTTCATAGCTAACCTTTCTTTGTATTTTGACTGTGAGCATTTCTCCTCTAACTCCATACTAAATAACAATTTGTTCTTTAGAGCATTCATTCCCTTTGGTAGTTTCACCATATCATAAGTGTGGTTCTCATGCAAGGATCTTATCTCATCTTCCATTACACTCAATAGCTCTCCTTTCTTCTCATGTGACAAAATCTCGAGATAAGTCTTTGATTCTCCTCCGACAGTAAGCATCACAAATTTGTTGGTAGAATATCTCCTAGAAGGTTGTCTCTCTCTAATGGATCTCTTAATAAAGGTTAAACTAGTGCCTCTTCTAGGTTCTCATTAATTGGATCATCATCAGCTAGAAGTGACTCATCAACATGTTTGCCTTTATCATCATTATCATGCATCATAGTAGGATGAGCTATGCTTGAATCAACTTTTTTACTGTTAAACTTTGACTCAATTGATTTATCAAAATCTGCAATAGTATGGTCTTCAAAGAAAAAGTTAAATTGTATCTCTTGTTCTTATAACCTTTTTGCCAATCTGATCACAAAACCTATACCCAGACCCCTCATGATTGTACCAAATAAAGATGCACTACCTTACTTTGCTATCAAGTTTAGATCTCTCATCTCTAAGAACATCCACAAATTCTCTGGATCCAAAAAATCTCAAGTGCCCATATGAAACATATTTTCTTGTCCAAACCTTATGTGGTTAGTCTTGATTCAAAGGAAGTGAAGGTGAAAGATTTATCAACTCAACTGCCACTCTCATAGGCTCTCCCCAAAAAGACTTTGGCGATTTTGAATGAGATATCATGCAATGAATCTTGTCATCAATTATGCAGTTCATCTTCTTAGCAAATCCATTATGTTGAGCAGTTTTTGGTTGTATTCTTAATTTTGATCACAAGTGTTCTGTAATACTTCAAATGTCCGCTTTAGTCGCAACCGTTATCTAAATGAACAACTTAAGTTTTTTTTCAGTTTCCCTCTCTACTTACACCTGGAACTCTTGAAGAAACCCAAAGTCTGGTCTTTAGATTTCAATGTGTAAGCCCATACTTACTTGGAATGATTATCAATGAAAGTAATATAATAATAAATGCCACCAAAGCTCGTAATATCCATAAAATAGATATTAGTATGCATCAAATCTAACACGTTGGTTTTTTATATAGAAAGGGAGTTTTAAAAGCTTCTCGATGTTGTTTATTAGCCAAATAGTGAGTACATACACCCATTTGTGTAAACTTCAGGTTAGGAATAAACCATTTTTGGAAGAGTTTCTTCATACTATTCTAAATGATGTGTCCGAAGCACATATGCCATAGTTGAGTTAATGAATCATTAATTGCATTCACTTCTCCCTCGTAAGTTTGAGCCCCCATTAAATAAAGAGAATTATGTTTCTTTTCACTAGTAACCACCAACGACCCCTTAGTGAGCTTCCATTTATCTTCACTAAATTGGTTATGATATCGTGCATTATCAAGTATACTAGTGGAGATCAAATTCAAGTAGATCTTAGGAACACGTCTTCACATTTTTTAGACAAAATTGACATCAAGCATCAGTATTAATGTAAACATTACCCATGCCTACAATTTTATATTATGGATCGTTCCCTATCTTCACATGACAAAAATCATCCCCCTTGTACATACAAAACACATCGCGATGAAAACTAACTTTATATGAAACACCATAAAACACTGCCCAATGAGAATCATCTTGATATGTGAGATTAATGTTGATGTTATCACAAAGAATGGTAACATCCCCATCTATGGTGGTTGTTATATTAGCATCATTTTTCTTTATTTTATT